GGTTGTGTGTGTGTGTGTGTGTGTGTGTGTGTGTGTGTGTGTGTGTAAGCGTGCATTGAACATCCTTATTTTGTTCAACCACTCAATAGTTTCTCATAAAATCTATACTTGTCACATTCTCATCACTCACCTGGACAGAATCCAGCTTTAACATACAATCTCCTAAATTGGTCTCATTTTGAACTCAGCAAGAGTCACCTATCCATATGGGAAGTATAATGTAAACATTACAGCCAACCACCTAGGCCAGTGGTCGGCAAACTCATTAGTCAACAGAGCCAAATATCAACAGTAGAATGATTGAAAATTTTTTTTGAGAGCCGAAAACCGATTTTTGTGCATGGGCCATGAAGTTTAAATCCACTGTACGTGGTAATTTGTGGAAGAGCCATACTCAAGGGGCCAAAAAGCACATGTGGCTCTCGAGCCACGGTTTGCCGACCACTGATCTGGACTAATCCAAACCAATATTCCATTAGGACATGTTACATACAACACCTTTTTGAGCTTGAAGTCATGTATCTCAGTATAAAAAGTTTTCTGGAAAAGGCTGAATTCAACCTTCTCCCAACCTCCTTCTAAGCCCCAGCCTGTGACTGTGAGTCAAGTGATATGTGGCAGCCAGACATTATCTTGTGTTTTACTACGATGAACTTAGTGTGGAGGAAGCTGCTTGAGATAGAACAAGCCAATATCTCAGTTACAGTTGTGTTTAGGGTGTGTGTGTGTGTATATATGTTGCGGGGAGGGGGCAGGGTACAGGGAAGGTAATTACATTTTGCTTTTAACAAAATAACTCTAAATCCTCATTAGAAACGAATTGTTCCTGTGATGCTGCAGACAAAGCAGTGTCCATGGACATGCCTTACTAACCATGTTTATCCAGAGTTATTCACTTTAATGCACTTACTATCTCCTGCCTGACTCACCAAGTTATGAATCCTTTATCTTTCATCTTACTTAAAAAGCAAAGTATTTAACACATGCCTAATACAAGGAACTGGCATTTTTTTGGAAATAGGCAAGGGTCATAAATAACTGACCATTCTAAGAATGCATGAGTTTGTAGATTTATGCCGGGTTGTCTGCTGGTTTATGGTTTGTGCTTAGATTTCCTGTTGGCCATAATCAGAAAACCAGGGGCAATGCTTTAGGGCTGAGGTAATTTTTTTTTTTTTTTTTTTTTTAGTGCATCTTCCAGTTAGATCGGTTTTTCTTTCCCTCCATCAACAATAATTGCCTATCAGAGTGATTTGGTTGGAAACTTTTGAGCAGAGTCTCTCACATGTTACATTGCTAAGTTTTGTTCCTTGTGATCATTGCATCTGTAGTAATCACATGATCACACTTAATATTCTGATGGTTTTATTAACAAGTATATAATACATATATTGCATACTGTATATAGTATATGAGGACTGTACAGTACAAATTTATGTTCACAGTTTGACATGACAAAATGTCATTACTGAATTCCCATTGGACTACAGAGTAGAAACAGAGAAGGTACATTAAACATTCACATCTTTAGTAAGAAAGGTTACCAAAATGTTTCAGTATTTGCAAGTTTACTAATGCATGCTAAAAACCTTTACCCATTCAGTCTTATTAGCTTATAAAATATATTACACTTTATTAAAAATTTCTGCATAGTTTATACAAGTATTAAAGTACTGTAAATGTAATAATCCTGCTATACTTGCAGGTATGGTTTAAGAGATGCTAAGCAGAAAGATTATTTTGACCCTCTATCACTAAGTACATATCAGCAAAAAAAAAAAAAAGTGCTAGTATTTGTAAAACTTAATATTGTAGCCCTCGTTTAATGCATGGAAAATGGCTTTGTAAATGTATTATTTCATAAGTGGATTTGCAATCATTTAGCAATTGTTAACCTTGACCAAGAAGAGAATAAATACCGCTCTGAGCAACTTCATGTATGACAGTGATTCCTTCAAGATGACAATATTTTCAAACCAATGGATTTATTTTAAAACTTTAGATCTTTGAGATTGTCTTTAAAACAATCTAACTAGGAATGATGTGCAGATATACAGTATCAGCAATATAGTCTTTCAAATTCCACATTAGTGCAACACTGATAGTGCAGGTGGGTGTTTAATAAAATATACATGTACATATGTAGTTCCCTGTAAATCTGTTCCAAGGCTCTCAAGCTTCTGCATGGTTAGCATTTCCTTAGCTGAACAAAGCTAAGCTGCTCACATTCACCAAACAAGGCGCTTCAGAATGTTTAATGCCCATTTACGATGCCGATTCACATTTTAAAACTAATATATGATGGATTCAGGTTTAATTTTTCTGACACTTGGATAATAACTGAGTAAATTCTATAACAATTTATACACTAGCTCCATGCTTACAAATCATTCTCATCAACTTGAATGTTGCAATTAAAATCACCCTTGATAGTAACGTGGCACATCATTAAAACCACACGCAAGGGCATTTTATGTGAGGTCTCCCGCAATAACAGCTAAAAATGACTAAGAGACTAAATTTCCCAACTATGATAGTAAGATACAAATATATATATAAAAGGAAAATTTGTAGAGCCAATTGGTAACTAAAGTATGTAGACCAGCAAGGGAACAGAGAATGATGGCTTCTCTGGATGGTTCTTTCAGTAAAAATGGAATTTTGTTAATGAACTGTTAACATAATCTAAGCAAGCTAAGTATAATATAATACTCTCTGCAGGGTTTTGCTTATACTTCTGAACAGAATTTTGATATGCCATAGCAAACATTACATCTCATGAGAACTCATGAAGCTTTCTATTAGTTAGACTCAGATTCAAAGCTCATTATAGAAAGATCAAGTCTACCCTTTCTCATTCCCCCTTCCCACCTTCTGTGGTTAGAATATACATAAACTGGTTTTCTCCGTCAAAACAAAACAAAAAGCCCCTTGCATTCAAACTTAAATTCTTCGGTGTGTTGTGGAAGAACCATTTCAAGAAATAAGCACTTTGGCATGAATGTGACTAAGTATTTACAATACAGACAATACCGACTTTCCCAAGAGCTATTTTTTCTTTTATCCCTCAATTCATATCTTAGTTGCAACCAAACACACAACAACAAAGAAAAAGCCCAATTTAGGATATTTTAATATTCTAAACGAATTTTGCAGTGCTTGAAAAAAGTAAAAACCAAGTGCCAGATAACAAATTATTTTGCATTTCTGTACATTTCCTTTCAGATGGTTCAGAGAGCTACTGAGTGGGACCTGTAGGTGTGCAGTCCTTACAACTACTTTCAATAACACAGCGCCAAAGTAAGCTCCCCACACAATCCGCAGGCCTCCAGAATCACTTCTTCACCGATGCTTTGAAAATAGTGTACTCCTCCCAGCTAAAGTTGTGTTGGATCCTGAGTTGTGGCTCGGACGAAATCTTCAGGACTCCATTCTTCTCTTTCCCGTCCTTTATGAGGGGGCATTTGGTCACACGTGCCCACTTTTGACCACCGTTGCCACTACCTTCCAATTCAGAACCAAGGCATTTCTACACATGAATTATTTTTATTGGCATTTAGACTATGATGCTCAAAAGCCTACTTTTGAGAAGTGTCCAAGTAATGGTGCTGTTTGTCTTGAACATGAACACGCGTCATTTTCAGTTTGTTCTTCTGACAGGATACTTGATAGTGAGAGTGCCAGCTCCAACAGTAAACTATGGGAATTATTGAGCTACGTAGATGAATCCCTGAACTGTGATTTTTCTATTTTTTTTTAGGAATCTGTCCACCCCCCCAATAAAGGTCTGTGTGCTTCACAACTATTTACAAAGAGCGTCACTCAGGTCTTAATGAATCTACTTAGCAGATGCTTACCTGGGATGTGTGTCATGAACACCAATGACAGCCTATTTGGCACCTTGTTACTCACACACTTTCTGTACGAAAGCTAGAGGAGTAATTTGATTTGGGAATAGAATTACCGCTCAACGTTGCCCTGTTTGCAGAAAGGCTCTCCGTAGGTTGGGTAAAGAAGACCCCGATCCAAAAAACTCTTCCCCATTATGGGTCAAGTATTTTTGTGGTGTCCCTACTCTCAATGCTTGATGATCTACATTAAGGACATTATAGGCCAGGAGATCGGTGCATGGGTAACCCCATCAGTATTTGGCTTCGCTGGATGGTTCTGCAGAGCTGAATGTGCAAAAACCGAAGTTCTAGGAATGCACTGCACAGATCACCAAATGATGAAACCTCACTAAAAATCCCTGGCTGGCTTCCTCCTTTGCGCCCTTGCTCCAACTCCGTGCGATGCAAATACAGCATCCATCCCTTGAACTAACAGAGATCCCTTCCCTACGTCAACAACTCTAGCTTCTCTTCCACTGGTGGCAAAGTCCTCCTTATTAGCTGCAGGCACGAAGGAGGGTAAAGGACTTAACGTTGATGAAGTGATAAATCCAAGTTGACAAGCAAGATTGGTGAAGGATAACGGAAGCGCTGACTGCACTCGCCTGGAATCTTGCTGCCCTTCTAGCTGACCTGGGAAGGAGTCCACTGTCTTCCCTCTGTGCAACACAGAATGCGGTCACAGGCTCAGGGGTATGAATGTCTCTGGCAAGGACTAGCAAGGCTGGATACTGTATTTCTAATACATTTACTTTTGACATTCTTTTGAGGAATACATGGACAAACCGACAACGGGTTCTGTTAGTTTACATGTTCCCTTGTTCTCATTACATTAAACTTTATCTGTAAGAAGGGTTTGCTTAGCATCCCCGGAAAAAAAAAAAAAAAAAAAGTGTTCACATTCTTTAGGTCTGACCCGTGGTAAGGAGGGAGGATTAGAGAATATTTACTACTGACCATATGGAAGTTTGACTGATATAAATTCAGAGATTCAGACCAGCTGAATCAAAATTAAAATGTACATGTAAAAAATGAGTTAGACAACGGGAGGAAGGACAGAGAGAGCTGGGCGGGTGGGGAGCCGTGTGCCTAGGCAGAGACGGGAGACATTCAAACGAGCATGTGGCGTTTCCTATGGAGGGCAAGGTGGTCAGAACGGGAGAAGCTGCGGTCACAGTCCGGACACTGGAAAGGTTTGATTCCAGTGTGTTTTCGGAAATGTCTTGTGAGTTCATCAGACCGAGCAAATTTCCATGTGCATCCTTCCCATGTGCATTTGTAGGGTTTTTCTCCTGCAAAGAGAAAGTGAAAAGAGCTTTTTTTTTTTTTTTTCTGATAGAAAAAGGCTATTAATTAGTAAAGGCAGTAAAATTAAAATGAGCGAAAGCTCTTGACATATATTATTTCCAAGGTACGTCTATCCATTTGTCCCTCAATAACAATCTCTATATATAAAAGCCTAAGCAACTGTCCTACTGTCCAACCGGTAGCTATGATACACACTGACCACCAGGGGGCAGACGCATAACACAGGAGCTGCTGAGCTATGATGACTTGTCAGCTGCACTTCTCAGGTGATGCACCCAGGACCAGAGACGAGGGAGCTCAATTCTAGGGTGCATCACCAGAGAACTGCCCTCTCACAATCCAGGATCCCTCAGGGGATGTCGGAGAGCGGGTTTCAGCCCGATCCCCACAGGCCAGGCCGAAGGACCCAACTGGTGAAAGAATCCATGCACCCAGCCTCTAGTATCTTATAAACAACTACAAGACAAGTAAAAAAAAAAAAATTTCTTAAAAAAAAAAAAAAAATCTGAAGTCTCTATCAACGGAAATATCTGTTGGGGATTTCAACATCTTATCTTTTGTTTAATGAATAATAACTATGCCTAAGTATAATGCTTTAATTCGGAAGTACTGACACTATAATAATGCGTCTCCACCCTGTTACAGCCAGGCCTCTCCAATACCCCTCCTGTGGGGTAATGGTGAGGACAGAAGACTCTTGTGGGAATATCCTAGGGAGAGCCATTAGGAAGACCCTCACAAATAAAAGGGCTGTTAATGGCTATCTTCCATGTGCAAGTGAGTAAAAAATAGGTAATGGACATCACTAATTCCCAATCTTGTTCTCTAGATACCTTATACACTGCCATTCCTTGGCATTTCAATGAGATATTCAGAATTTGTATTCTCTGCTTTGCAGCACAGAATATAAATGCTAAGATGTATGTACTTTGCCTACATCTGAATTGTTACGCAATATTCAATTTGATCTTTTTAATATTAGGCTGGAATTTGGTAGCATCCACCTCTGAGTTGTCCCATTAATGTCCTGGAGATGCTTTTATATGAATCAATTTGACATAGGTTTGGGTGATTGGGTGTTCCTCTAAATGCAAAGTGTAGTTAGGCTGATTTTTCCTGGCTTACTCCCCCCCCCCCCCCCCCCCCCCCCAGAATTCAATGAAAAACTCACTTCCACTGTGCCAGACACTTTCCTGCCCTTTTCCAAATCCCAGAGTCTTCTGTTTAAATATTTCTCATAAGAATGACTCACAGAATTAAAAAAAACTCAAAACAACTACAACTATAATACATAAGAACACTGTATACACACTGTATAAATCCCTATCACACTAGAATTTCATACTGAAGAGTCTGACGGTGGGTCAGATGTGACCTACAGTAAACATTAATCACTAACACGCACCACAATTAATCGGTTTATAACATTTTTATACAATTTAAGATAGTTTGCTGCAAAATGTTGAAGAACCCACGGAACAATTTTAGATTTTCTTCACCCATACAACAATTTTCATGAGATCTGACTACACACTCTATATTCGAGACTGGGCAAGATGGAAAGTATTCTAGAACAAATATGGCAGGCAATCACATAAAAGTTCCCTCGGTTTTACCAAATTCAACTTCTATAAACTGCTACATTTATTTGTTCTGTGTAAAGAGCTGATTTTTACTATGGTGAACCTGATGTACATTTGCCATAGAAGAGCCCATAAGAAGACCACATCCTGGCGAAGTAGGCCCATGGTTAAGAGTGCTATCCCTTCTGTTCCACCGGAGGATCCATCCCTTTCTCTCTCTTTCATTGCAGAGTGCACAAGTGATTGACCTTCCTACAGTAATAACCTTGAATCTAGTCTACTTATAACAAAAGTAAACCATTACAAAAAATTTCATGTATCATGACAGAGACATCTGTAAATGACTGGTAACTTTTAGATGCCTGAAAAAAAATTCATTACAATAACCTCTGAAAGTCAGAACGTTTAACTTAACATTTTATTCTAATTCTTAAGAAGAAAGTGAGTCTTATATTTCTGATACCTGTATGTGTTCTTCTGTGTGCTTTCAAGTGAGAGCTTTTAGTGTACACTTTGTTGCATCCTTCATAATCACATCTGTGTATTCTTCGCTTCCTTTGGGTGTCTGGAGATTCCACAGGCAAAGGTCTCTTCCCCGGCTGTACTATGACGGAAGGGTGATTCCTGTGAAAGTCAACATTAAATGCAAAAGGTTGAGTGGAAGGCTCTTCCTTTTCTTTCGTCTATCAAAAGCATGAACGACACTGGGCAAAAACAAACAAAAAAACCCCCAACAAAATAAATAAGAAATTAGCCGATCAACCCAAGAAGCACTGCTATATTCATTCAACAAACATTGAGTGAGCACCTACCATCAGCCAGGCACTGTGCTTGGCACCGGACACAAAGATGAATAAAAACAGGGTTCCTGCCCTCGAGGAGCTCACACTCTAGGGGGAGACAGACATGTAGATAAGTAATGACAGTAAGAAGAGTTAGGTGCTACGCAGCAGGGAGGTGCAAAGTGCTAGAAGTCTCTTTGCCTCAAAAAAATTTGCCTATTTATAGAATTTTGCGCCACTAGGTAATGCTGGACACTCTACTACTACTCACAGGCCATCCTTACTTTCATTTACTGTTCTTCAGGGAAAAGTCAGATTCCCAAGCCTCAGGCAGCCACACTAGGATGTCAGCCCTCTCAGGGGTTCCTGAACTTCTCCCTATCTCCCTGATTATGCCTGCCCAGACTCATATCCTGCATTTGCATAAATCAAACCATGTTAAACATCATTACTGTGGACTTCTCTTTTTCAGAAAGGTAGTTGGAGAGAAAAGGCAGGTGGGGAAGAGCTGGGAAAGGTCTGTAGTTTTCCCAGACTTCTGCTGATTAATGTTAATTAAAATTCCTAATCCATTCATTCATTTTAATCCATTCACTTGCTTTCCTAATGACTAATTACCTGATAGGTTACAAAGTTATATAGTTGGCCTCCAACTGTAACAAGATATTTTTCTTTCAAATTTGAACCTAATTCCGGGCCAGTGGTGCTCAGTGGTTGAGCACTGACCTATGAACCAGAAGGTCATGGTTCAATTCCTGGTCAGGGCACATGCCCGTATTGTGGCCTTGAGCCCCAGTGTGGCATGCAGAAGGCAGCCAATCCATGATTCTCTCTCATCATTGATGTTTCTACCTCCCTCTCCTCTCACTCTTCCTCTCTGAAGACAATTAAAAATATATATATGTTTTAAAACTTTGAATCTAAAGTTCTTAAGATGTTCCACATAACATGTTTTATACAAGTGTGTAAAGGGAGAAAAAAAGATTGGTGAGAAGGAAAAAAGGAACTTAATGAGATAAAAAAGGATAATAAAATTTAATTATAAAAATTCAAAGGGAATCCCTGAAATGAAACTTGATTTTTTTTATCTTGGTTAAAATTTAAATACAGTCTTTTGCAGTAACTTTTTGAGGCATTTTCAGAAGCAGCTAGAAGAAAATCAAAGCCATGTTTAAGTGACCTCACATTTTCTCACTTTTATTACTAGCAAATAAACTGTCACTTTACCTTCCTATCCTGATGCTTAGAGGGGCGATACAGAAAAACAAATGGCCAAGTTTAAATACATGTAAAAGTGAACATGAACTAGTGAGGTGGGAAAAAAAGACAAGACTTAAATTTTATAAATATACAAACAGAGAAGAGAGAAGTTTATGAACAGATTTAGTTTTTTATCAATTTAAAATTCTTCAGTAAGAAGGAAAAGGTTATCAGTTTATTTTTCACTTTCAACTTTAATTCCACTGATTGAAAATGTTTCATCTGCACTAAAAGAAATAGAATTCTGAGGAAAAAAATGATGACATGTATCTCATATGCTCTGGGATACTGCAAGAGAATTCTAGATGATTTTAGAAGTCTCTCCCCATTATTAGACTTTACGGGTTGTGAATCAGCCTAATAGATTCTGTGCAGTAGTTAAGGAATGCGTTTTCCAGTTGCTGGTTTTGTGTATAAAGGTATGCTAATGATCTCGGCTGACAGTCCCAGCTCTGGAGGTGACAGCCCGTGGGACCCTGGGGGCAAGGTGTTGCTATCCACTCTGTGCTGTGGAATGAGGATGATGATATGATCTCTCGGAAGGTGGTTGTGAGATATGTGGCCCGGCTGGAGTGGCTCTGCTGGTTGAGTGTTGTCCTGTGCACGGAAAGGTTGCAGGTTTGATTCCAGGTCAGGTCCCATACCTGGGTTTTGGGTTCAGTCCCTGGTTGGGGCACATACAGAAGGCAAGCAATTGATGTTTCTCTATTCCTCTTCTCCCTTCCCCTCTCTCTAAAACACAAAGTATTTTTTTTTTTTAAAGAGAACAATATCTGTTCCAGATGTAAATCTACTCAACGGTAGCTGTTCATAATTCAAGGTTCTGAAATCTATTTGTAAATGTAGCCCCTACATTGTTTAATTGCATGAAGTGTGTTTTTTTGATGTCTCCACGCCGTATCAGGAAGTCTCTATACCAGCTAACATCTACCTTGAAAGGCACCATCATTCTGAGGATGGTTAGCAGTCCCATCTCTAAAGAGTCAGACGTTAGTATAGGCTGAGGCTAGAGATCAGGATCTTGGGATCTCACTCTTCTTGGTTTCCTCGCTGCTCATTTGAAAAGAGGCTGTGTGGGAACATTACAACCAAGAGCTAGAACAGCTATTAAATTATCAGAGACCTGGTCATTGCTTTGAGCTAAGCCGAACTCTCAAATTTGCTGCCATACATCTAT